ATGGTTAGGAAGTCAAAAAGTAAGTTTGTCGTAACCCTACACCTCTCTCCCCCCTCCAAAAATTGGAACACCAACACACATTTTTGTTAATATTGTTTATTATTATCTTTTTTTCTTGTCCTACTTTGACTAAACAACTTCTCTGTGGACTACAGCCGCGTCAGCTCTGAATTACAGTTGCTATATGTAATAAACAGCTAAGATCATTCATCAGCAAAACAGATATAATATTAGTTCTCATCAGCATACCATACCAAAATTTTCATAGTAAAAAAATGTGATTTAAATTTTGTTTTATTTTATCTACATAATAATTAGAGTAGCCTTCTGAAACACATTAAAAAGGAAATATTAAATTTCGAATGTGCAATCAATTTAACTCGACTTGCAAAATTCATTTGAAAAACACTGAATACGTGGACTCCTCACATCACGCCCCTAAATCTGTAAAGTGTTTAGAGCGGTGGTCATGGTTACAGTCGCATAATTCGTTTACGTTACGTTAATTACCTACGTATTTTTCTTGTGTGTTTTTTATTGTAAAAGTTTAAATTAGATTGTAAAGATATAAAAAGAGCACTTGCAATGCAATCTATCTATTGAAAAATCAATGGTGCGAGAAATACCAAACTTTAATGAAAAAGTAATTGAAAAGTTTATTTCAGATAAAAGCAAAAGAATGAACTTACATTAAAAATTAACTTTGAGCACATTTTCCCTATGTTTCAATAGTAATATACATATATTCGATTTTTTTTCAATACTTTGTATCTAAATATTTCCGCCCTCTCTAGTATCCCTAACTGTATCCTACATCGTGATATTTCTTGCAATATAACTTTATAGTTACCTACATTCATAAAAAATAAACTTTATTCAAATCGTGAAATGTTCATTCTATCTAATACTCCTAATATATTTTACTGTTTGGATTACTATCACAATATTTTATTTTTTGTCAACTTTATAACCTATATACTATATCATTCAGCTAGAGAATAAATTCATTAATAAAATAAAGCATTAAGATACTCACTTGAATAGCAGTAATTCCTCATGTTTTATATCTTATATTTCAAACGTACCGACTCTAAACCGCGGTGTTACGTTATTAAGATAAATTATGGCTACATCCAGAATATGACTTCATTTGGAATCTTATCGATAATAATAGCTAATGTTTAAAATTTAATTATACGTAAAGGCTGCAGAAAACTATAGTACCCCTGTGCTTGTCCTCAAATAAATGCATCATATAACAGGATAATAGATGAAATATCTAAATGCAACATATCTGACATCGACTATATCTCATCACCATATTTTAGGGCCCCACTGCCTCACTTTCAGCTAATTTAATAATCAGTTAAAGTTGCTGGTTATAAATCGTAACTGATGTAATCAAAGGACAATTCGTTTTTAATTTCCGATGTATACTCCACAAGGCGGTTCTGATCTTTATGTCTTTAGTTATAATGAATATACATATGTATACATAGAATAAGTCATTACATCTACTTATGAGTTTGTTTCAAATTACACACTGTCATTACCTTTATTTAGATTTCAGGCTGTTCCTTAAAAAAGTGATTATATTTGTCTGCTAAAAAATTCAGTTATCATAACTTTACTGTTCATCATTGTATGTATTACTAATTTACGTAGTTGAATTAAAAACAAATTATTTTATGAAGAATATACGTTGTGACGAACGTCATCATAGATTTATCCTTGTTATGGGAGCATAGATCACTCGTTTCCATGAGCATTTCTGATCCGATTGCTGTCGATTGGTCCGCATAGTCCTTGTTTTTTTGTCTTTCGACAAATTACAGTTTGCTTTCATTTTATTTGTTATTTTAATCAAGCCCTCATTGAAAAAATCTGTTTTGGTATGTCTTTTTAGCTACCTGTTCTTGCCATCTAATTGATGTGTTCCTCTTGGTCTGCGCTGCATAGATCTGCATCTACTATTTTCCATATAAGCTCATCGTTTTCTTTCCTCTCCTTAGCCTTTGTGCTTTACGTATCTCGTAATGTCTTTTTCATTCATTAACCATTAAACCCCTAAATTCATAATTTATACCTATATGTTCTAAATTCTCCTTGTAATTTCTTTGGTTCTAAAATTCCTCTTAAAACCTTTCTTTCCAATATTCTCAGCTGCGTATGTTATTACAGGTCTGATTGTCACTTTATTTATTTTCATTATTGTTATATTGAGATTTCTATATTTTAATTATCTGAACGTCTCCAATACATTATATATCCTCCTTGTCTCGATTATTTATATACTCTTGCCACATCTTCCTTTTACTGTAACTTCTAAGTATTTAAAATATGTTATTTGTTGTAAGATATATTCCACTACATTTAGATCTTCCTCACCTGCTTTCTTGAGCTTATCATATCTCTTCTTGTCTTGATTGATTTTGTTCAACTCAACTCAATTTTCAGGGTTCGTTTTCCTCTTGTTATAAATGCTAGGTCAAATGCATATTCTATAATCATTAATGAAGCTTTGGAAGAACTTCTTCGAAGGTTCATTCCAGAAGACACTGATGTGAATAGAATTGACAAAATTGTGCTTTCTTCTTCGATAGAGATAAATTTTATAATCCGTGTATATCAGACCATTGGCAGAGCTCACATGAGTTTTTCTTTGAATTTATTGAACTACGCAATAGTTTTCCGTGTTTATGACAAGAGGTGAAAAGAATCCAGTTACCGTAAGAAAAAAATCAGACTTATGGAATTTTAATTGAAAAATTGGATCCTGCTGTGACCAGAGATGTGGTTACTAAAAAAATAAATAAATTCCCTTCTACAAAAAGTGATTGGTTAAACAAATCGATTCTCACGGGAAATAAGCATATACTAGCACTTTGTAATTTTGATTATTACGTGCTTTTTTCATATATTTTGTTTTGTAATATGTGGACCAATTAATTCCAGTAAATAATTGTATCTTTTAACATCCATCCTCAAGTAATTTTTCCAATCAACAGGTACACTTCGCAGTTCGTTGAGCAGTCGCACATGAGAAAATATATATTTTTTGAGTAACCATGTTCTGGACTATTTTGAGTGTTTGCCCTTTTCTAATTAAATAAATAGCAAAAGCATACCGTATCCATTCTGACGATGAGCAGTAGGAACGATCTACTTCAAGGAACCAGGGTTTTTCAGCAATCCGTGTATATTCCGAAAAGTATTGGACAAACGGAAAGACACGTCAGTACGAAGTTACGAGTACGAGTTCCAGGACACAGGCAGTTACGGGACACGCATTAAACCTAACTTATACTCAAATTTTAGTGAGAGAGAGAGAGAAAGATGATTTTGATCAACACTCTAAAGAATAATTGACGAGGGATTAGAACTATAGTCCGTACGATATTTGTTGAAATAGAATTCCAAGAAGACCCCTGCATTTGATACTCGAGATAGAAAGACATCGCGGACAATTCTAGGACGCCCCTATCGTGGTAAATTGTTACAGTGTTCGACAACAGAACTTTATTGGCTTATTCTTTTCTTGGAATTCTATCTCAACAAATATTGTACGGGTTGTACTTCAAATTTGAAAATAACTCTTCGGTAACAATCAAAGATCAGAAACACACGGGCAAAATACTACCATGGATTCAAACACCATGCACCACTGTTCACATTAAATATAATTATTCACCAACCAGAGGACCTAATCTTTATTTTCAACGTTTCTTCTGAAACGTCAAGAACGTCAAGAAGTCTGTACAGGGTGTTTCTAAGTTGCTGTCATACAGGAGGATGTTATTTTAATAAAATAATTAATTAATATCTCAGAAATTCGATAAATGCATTTAATTATGATAATTCTAATGTACTGCTCTTCTAGTTTAAAATAAACTTCTTATAACAGTTAAATACATTCAATATAACTTAAATATAAGGCATGTATTAAAAATCCAAAAAAAAAACATTGACGTAGAAGTTTTAAAATTATTTTAACAATCGCGACAAGACTTCAAATAAAAATATCTGCGTCAGCGATATTTTGATTTTTTTACGATTTTAAGCAAAATATTGCAACACACTTTTTTAATCAAATGAATAGTTCAAGATTTATTTTGAATTGATTCAACTACATAATTAGCATATATCTTAAATAAAAAAAGTAAATCAAATATAATTTTGTTTATATTTTGAATAAAGTGAAATAAATATTTCATCCTAGAAAATAAATGACGGTTCGCCCATTATCTCCGTCCTTACTAGACATATTTTTATATCAATCCAGTTTTGTATACAAGTACAATATTTTCGTGTACCTAATAAGTTTTAACACCAACTCAAGCTTCTCAATCTACTTATAAATATGGATCTACTTATTATATATCTCATTGTTTTAGTGACAAGTTTTAAGTACATAAAGTGAATGAATATTTTTGTACATGTTTATTAAAAATATATAATTACAGTTTTATGCTTACCTGTCTCGATGACTCATATCACTACGTCTCAAATAATAAAAAATTAAAATCAAAATAAATTCGACATTAGACACTTATGTCATATTTGTTTCCATTTGCACGCGTTTTTATATATTTAAACATAATTATTTATTTTGTTTTCTAGTTAATATAATAACTGTGCATCATTAACACAGAATATTAAATTATAAAATCTCAATTTTCATCAAAATTTTGTTCTCACCATCTCTAGTACAAGAAGAAGAAACTGGGTAACTGTATTGTAATGCAATTTTTTAAAATTAATTAATAAAGGAAAGAAGCGCAAAAAACCTATTGAGTGATGAAATTCAATATGTAAAAATATGTGCTTAGAATTATGAATTAAAAATTCTTAGCCTATAAAAATATGCTATACTATAAAATAATAAAAATAGCGTTAACTTCATTTGCAAAATATTGCGATAAGGACAAACTTATAGGTACCTAAGTATATTTTACAAGATCTACAGCAAAAATTTATAAAATGTGCAAAATTACACTTACTTGAATAGTAATAATTCCTCATTTTTTATATCTTACATTTCTCATGTACCGACACTAAACCGTCTTGTTTTGGTATTAAGATAAAACATTGCTTCATCCTAGAATATGACTTGACTTTGCAATCTTATCGATTAATAACGGCAAATGATTAATATTTAAATTTTTTATTGCGTAATTAATACTAGGGACAAGTGAGCACTTCAATTTTAAATTCTAAATTTAATGAATTTAGAAGCTGATAGTTGGAAACAAAAACCTAGTCATAACACATAATTTAGCAATTCGAGGTAATTCATTCCTTTTTTTTCAGTATTCATTCATTCATTCAGTTTTCAAATCTACAATCAGCAAGTCATGTTTACAGTAGACGAACAATTAAGTCGGGCAAAAATACTTCTCTTACTGTGGGGTTATGTATCTTTTGCATACTTAGATTTCTGGTATTGATGGATCGATAAACAGCTTCATGTCATGTGTCTCGAGAAAAAAGCACTTTAGCAAGGCTACAGAAGCTCTAAGACTTTGGAAACTTATCTAATCTATTGAACGTTCTCTAATAGACTCACAGGTCTCTTGCAGAATGCCATATCCAATTATGAAAATTGTGGGTTAAAAGCATTTTACAAATACACAAGGTCCCGTTTATCAAATAAAGTATCCACATTTCTAAAAAAAAACTGGTCCCGGACGCATCTCTACTGGAAATGGAGAAACTGCAGATATCTTTGCTGTTGCTATCTTTTCAAACATATACTGTTGATCCAGGTATACCCGTAATTAATATATGTATAAATTATCGGACTGGCTCCGTCATCTATAATATTTTAATATCTCCTGAAATCGTGCAGACCTATTAAATTAAATTGCGCACGGACTCATCGCCAAGTAGAAATAAGGTCAGTCCATTTTTATCCAAATGTGTGAATAGTCAGAATAGTCTATCAGCACCTTTAATTCAAATTATATCCACGTCTATGAATTGTGGATTGCCTGATGACTGGAAGATCGCATCTGTTATACCCATTTACAAAACTATAGACCCATTAGTTCTGTTCCATTTGTTCCTTGTAGGTGAATGGAACGAATTATTTGTAATAATGATATTTTTATTAAACCACATTATACCAACTACCTACTCAAAATTGCTCACCCGGGAGGTCTGTGGTGTCCAATTCGCTTGAAGCTTTAAACGTATAGATATCATATATGGCTTCTGGTGAACCTCTTGATATAATCTACTTCCGCGTGCCTTTGATAAAGTACCAATACGTTAATTTGTTATATAAGCTGGGATACATTGGAGGGCGTAGAAAATTACTGTCATGGATAGAACCTTTTCTTAGTAACAGACAATTTAAGTACGAGTTGGTGACCGTCACTGCGAGATGTATTAATTGGTGTGCCCCAGGATTCAGTGATGGGTCCTATCTTATTTCTAGTTTATGTATCTTATGTACCTAACAAATAATTATGCATATGGACCACTCGACGGCTTGAATCAATCACCTTTGATTTTACGAAATGATGTTGATCTCATTAATGGTTGGTGCTTGGAATTGTTGCGATCTCTTAATTACTCTAAATAGCGACTTTGGCATACAATCACAGAGTTATTGTCGTGATTGTCCAAAACTGTAAGAAAATGTAACCGGTTTATTTATATTCGTAGATCTTTCCAAGATAATTAACATGGTTATTTTTTTTTCAAAATTTGTAATGCCTATATAGTTCACTTCTTGCTTTTGCTGTAACTATGAGCTCCTCTTATAAATCTAGAATTCTGCAATTAGAAGGTGTCCAAAGACGTTTTACTAAACTCCCTGCACTGCAACAAAAATTGGACTTATTTTCACTCAATTTCACTCAATAACGTATCAATTTCTGTCCACACCCGATTGAGTGAAATTTTCCTCTATTAGTATAGAGTACAACTAAAAGTTTATGAGTGACACCATCAGTTTTAATTCAAATACAGGGTGTCCGCAAATTTCACCAACAACGTTTGACTGCATATTCATGACGATAAATAAATACGATCTACGAAAAGAAGTTAAATAAATTAAGAAATAAAGTATTTTCGTTTTTGAGTTAGGCCCCTTCAAATTTGTCAAAACCTCCCCCTTTTAGCGGTTAAAACTTTTACAGTGGTCGTTTTTTTTTAAAAAACGGGGAGCACAGAAAATGTCTCTTGAGAAAATCGCCTATAGCAAACCATTCTTGAGAAAAATGGCATTATTTGCAGGTCTGTATGTTTCAGCTTGCGTAGCAGGGTCACGGATTTAAAACTTTGATGTCAGTAGGCGATGAAAACAGGATGTTGATTGCTGTGTCTATCTGGTAATGTCATTATTGTCGTATTTCTTTAGGATTCTCATCACTCCACACATGCAAATTATGAAGTGTCTGCAGTGTTTCAAAACAATTAAATGTATATAAAACTAATGTTTACAAAACTTCAAATAAGCAATTTCTTTGGCCATTTCATTTACTGCTCAAGAACTTGAAAATTTAAATCCCAACGCACGTTTACAATTTCGCCGCTGGTTGGTGAATGGCTTCGCAGATAATTATTTGCTTCAAAAATACAAAAATTAAATAAATAGTAAATTTTCATAATTTGCATGTGTGGAGTGATCAGAAAGAAACACGACAATTATGACGGTACCTGATAGCCATAGCAATCAACATCTTGTTTTCATCGCCTACTGAACTCAAAATTTTAAATGAAGTGACTGCTACGCAAACCGAAACATATAGACCTGCAAATAATGCCATTTTTCTTAAGAATAGCTTTCTCAAGGAACAATTTTTTTAAATAAAACGACCTTTTCAATGCTGCTCCCTTTTTTTAAAAAATACGACCACTGTAAAAGTTTTGACCGCTAAAAGGGAGAGGTAACCGAAGAAAACTATCACCCAGTATCTGGATTTGACTAAAACTTTAAGAAATAATACGCCATAATAGTCTAAATAAATGTGCCAACGCGATCGGTGAAAGGGTTATGAAGTTATTAATTAAATTAATTTTATTTTTGACAACTTTGAAGGCTTGTAACTCTAAAAACCAAAAAGTTTTTATTTAACTTTTTTCGTAGATCGTATTTATTTACCGTCGTTAATATACAAGGTGTTTCAGTTCGAGTGAATCAAACTTTAACCAAAAATAGAACTCAATAAATAATTCAGAATTGCCTTATAAAGCAAGGCTCACCATTTTCACTATATATAGGACTGTATTGGTCGGTTGTTAAAATCATATTATTTATGATATCTTTGGTATGCTTATAACAAATCGGTTCAAAATTGGTGTAGTGTTAACATGTACACATGGGCATAATTTACTGTAAAATTTACAAAATTTTGTAAGTCAGTGGCGTAGGAATGGGTAGTAAAGCGGTATTCTTTTACCTCAACTTCTACGCCAATGACCTAATAATCGTTTGGGATTCAGTTTTGGATTCCCTGGACAATTTTACATAAAAAGTATACGTGTTGAAAATCGGTATGGGTTATCGTTTTACTGAAAATCTCAGTTGAATGATAAGAAAATCTTGAATATTCATCCATTTTTTCACAAACACTAACTAATATTTCAAATCTTAAGAATAAAATGACAGATAAGTCTATTATTGCTTAGTTGTTTATTCATGGCAATCATTGTGTACGGATACGCACAGCGCAAATTTAAAATTAATATGCAGGTGTAATTTTTAAAGGAATTATATCTATTTGAAACAAACGTACCGTTGAATTTCAGAGAATTTGCCATTAAACATGCTGTCCAGCGCACTACAGCGTAACAGAAAAATGAGCTCAGAGGAGGGATTCACCACGTTACGAATGCAATAAATAATACACAAGGGATTATATTTAAAATTTACTAGCCGTTTTGCCGATGTAGAGACATTATTTAATATTGTTTTGAATTCTAAGGTAATCCGTGACATTATAATAATATTAAATTTAAAATTTCCTATCCTTAAGAAATTAAAATTCTTATCAGAAGAACGATCTCCCATTCAACTGCAATTTTCGGTAAAACGATACACTATACCGATTTTCAACAACTATACCCTTTTTATGTATAATTGTCCACGGAATCTAAAAATGAATCCCAAATAATTATTAGGTCATTGGCGTAGAAGTTGTAATAAAAAACTCATCTTCTTACCCATTCTTACTCCACTGATCTACAAAAATTTGTATATTTTACAGTAAATTATGCACCTATGTAAATGTTAATACCACACCAAATTTGAATAAATTTGTTATAACCATAGCAAAGATTTCATAAATAATATGATTTTAAAAACCGACCAATACGGCCCTGTACAGTGAAAACGGTGAGACTTAGACCCTTGCTTTAAAAGGCAATTCTGAATTATTTATTGAGTTCTATTTGTGGTTATAGTTCGAATCACTCGAACTGAAACACCCTGTATAGTCAAACGTTACCGGTGAAATTTGCGGACACCCTGTATTATCAAAAATGTGTAAAATTATCAAAATACTCACTAAAATGTACTCAATAATTTCACTCAATTGATTCACTCCATACCTTTGAAAGATTTATTTACAGTGCGTTGGGTTTAAGGATCTTCCTTACGAAACACGTTTTATATGCCTAAGTCTTCAGTGTCTGGAGGAGTTTTTCGCGATAAAATCTACTGCTAAGATGAAATCTTCATCTGCAACAGGGATGTTTTTGTTTTACTTGTTTCGTTTATTAAACTTTTTGTATATTAGGACCACGTATTTATAATCGTGTTTATATCTACGTATTGTAATTGAGTTCAATAAGTTTCGATATCCACCTAGCCACCAATGTAATAATAACAGTAACAAAAATAACAATAACTTCATATTTGTCCGTACACTAAAAAACCTTCAATTTATTATATATTTCATTTGTTTGCGGCCGCTGTTATTTTCTAAACAATTATGCGTCATGTTATTCCAACTGCAATTATTATACCTATAGGGTGCAACTAAAATCTTAACGGGAAATTGTATAGACAAAATACGTTTCCGACACAGCAAATGTGGTTCTATA